TTGTATGTGAGGCTTTAGAGTTGTAGGAAGGAGCACATTTAATGCTGGGGGAGCATTGCTTGCCTTCCATCCTGACCATGCCTTTCCTCCCCCCCTGCATTGCCCCTCTTCCAGGCCTGCACATTCCCATCGCGGTCTGCAAGAAACTGCTACAAACTGAACAGACTGGGCTGCCAGTATCTTCATCCAGGGAAGCAGTCTCATGCCAGTGGACTGCAGCCCAGTCTGTTCAGTTTGTTAAGAATGATGAGAGGATGCAGGTGCTTTCACAGGCAGGAAATACTCCATACTCAGGAACAGGGCCGTCCCTAGGGAGGGGAGAATTGAGGCTACTGCCCTGTACCCTGGGCTTTGGGGGACCCCGCAGAGCTGCGTGAATGGTGTGGTGTGGCAACTCTGTGCTGCCACCAGCTTCACGTCCGGCTGCTCACCACCCTCCTCATCCCCCATGGCCCACCTGCTGCTGAATCTGCTTCTGGCTTCCTTGCGTCTGGGGGCAGGGCCCCGCACCTTGCTCAGACTGTCTCTGCTCAGGGGGTTTCTTTAGCTGAGTAGAAAAAAGGCAGCACAAGAGTCAGTGGAGAAATGGAAGGCAGGTGACATCTCGTTAGCAATCTGGAGATGGTGCCGGTGGTGTGAGTCGAGAGGTGGACTTATCACCTACCTCCCCTGCAGTGACCTTCCCCTCCAGTAGATGCTCAGTGGCCCTCGGTGCTGCCAGGTCTGTCCAGCACTGGGGCCCTGTCTGATCCTCTGTCTTTGGTGCTTTGGAGTGTCACTTTGCTTTAAGAACAAGAGGGAAACTTCTGCTCCTGCCAAAGAGAGAGCAAGCAAACAGGATTGATATTGTCTTAAGAATATGCTTTAATCTGTCTCCAAATGAGAATCTTTTAGTTCCTAAATAGATCCGTTTATTGATCATTGCAAAGTATCAACTACTGGTATACATATAGACAAAGATTTAGCCACCAATTCAATTATGTATGCATATTACCCATCCTATGAATACACTTCTCTGTCAGCTGGGCAGACATCGCAGAGCTGATTGGTTCCTTGAAAGACCAGATTTCTTTCAGTCCTAGTTTGATAGCTGGTCAGGTCGGAAGGGACCTGAATAGGTCATCAAGTTGTGTAATTGCATAGGCTGTGCATGGGTGCCATCTCTTAAATGCACTAATTTCTAGGCTAGGCCTTGTGGACCTAACAGACCACTGCAGTCCTGTCAAGGGTCAAAAGGCTGAACTGTCTCCCCTCCCTCACAGTCAAGCACTTATGGCATGACTGGAATAACAGACTTGGTTGGATAGCTCACCTACCGGAGGGGGAGCCCCCCGGGTCCCTTATAGCTGAGCCGGTAGGGAGCCGCGCAGCGCGAACAGAGCGCGCATACAGGGTGGGCTCTGTGAAAGCGCGCCGGTGTTTGTGCAGGCGTTCGCGCCAGCGGGCGGGCCGGGA